GACATTACTAAGAGACATGGATTTGATCAGTTATGAAAGAAACTACTATTATGTTAATAGTCATTGGTATTGTGCTAATTAACTATTGTTGCGTTACATGGGTGTAAAGCAAATTATTTTCTAAGTTATCACCTTACAAACATCAAATGATATCAAATTACTAAGCAATGTCAATAAGCCTACTAAAAAAAGTACAAGAGTGAAAAATATCAATAAATACTAAGAACAGAAAACACTTGCTAAGCAAATAAATCTGAACATCTTTAAATCATCATATTGAAAAAGTTAATTAACTAAATCTCAATTAAAGTTCGAAAATGAATCAGTGGAATCTAGAGGGGATAAATAAACCCAACTATACAAAAACACGAGGCAATTAACTTTTAAAGATTGGTAGGTAGTTGATATTCCATAAAAGCATCTTCTATTCCTTTTGTTCCAGATACTCCAAAAAATGGCTGCAAGTATCATCTTCCAGATTCTCTTGATGGTGCTATCAACTTTCCAGCAACTCCAGCTTATCAAAACATCCCTGATATTATGAGGCATGACCCATTTGAGACCAAAAAGAGCTTAAAACATACTCCATAAGTCTGCTGCTATTTGACATTGTAGAAATAGGTGATTGTGTGTTTCTGCTTCCTTCATGCTTCCGTCATTACTTGGTTGGTTATAAGACAACTATATTCCTTTAAGTACATAATCTTCATTAAGAGAGTTTACAATGCTTATCTTGTGTATACTATTGATGTGTGTGATCATCTCATCTAAAAACTTAAACCGTTAGAGAGAGGAAACATTTCTATTCATTTAACGTCACACGGATTAGAATTATCATATAATCTTTTTCTTTTGAAATGAATGAATTGAATTATTTTCAACATGAACATCTGTTCTAGTATATTTCTTTACTCTGCTTATATCACAAATATTTTTCAAGAGATCGTCATATCAAAAGTTTCATTAAATAGTGAATGAAGTCCTTCTAAGTCTGTCCTTCCTTTACCTTTTTAGATCGACATCATTCATTCTTCCATTTACTTCCCTTCAACTCTTCTCTCCCATCAAAAAACTTTTTTATTGTTCATTATCTCTATATATTTTTTGACGGCCTCTGAATAAGGATAAGACATTACTAAGAGACATGGATTTGATCAGTTATGAAAGAAACTACTATTATGTTAATAGTCATTGGTATTGTGCTAATTAACTATTGTTGCGTTACATGGGTGTAAAGCAAATTATTTTCTAAGTTATCACCTTACAAACATCAAATGATATCAAATTACTAAGCAATGTCAATAAGCCTACTAAAAAAAGTACAAGAGTGAAAAATATCAATAAATACTAAGAACAGAAAACACTTGCTAAGCAAATAAATCTGAACATCTTTAAATCATCATATTGAAAAAGTTAATTAACTAAATCTCAATATCGTCATATAAACCTAAAACACCCGACGTATACACAGAGAACCGAAACTATAATCTCACCTTGATAATTCCAATCCTTAACCCTTTGGGGTGGCCTAGTGGTTTGAGCTTGGGACTTCCATGTTGGAGGTCTCAAGTTCGAAACCCCTTGCCAGCGAAAGCAAGGGGTTTGCCTTCTGGGTCGAGCTCGTCGCACCAGGCTTGTCTAGTGCGGGTTACCTCTCCTATGTGGTTTGCGAGCTATTGCATAGGAGCGGGGTTTTTTATCCTGTGCGCATCCAAAGGGTTGCGGCTGCGGGTTTCCCTTGTCATAAATAAAAAAAATTCCAATCCTTAATTCTTAGAGTCTCTATCTCCTCAGTTAAATTTTTCTTCCATGTCAGTTATGGTCTTAAAATCCTCTTTCAACAATTCTGAAATAAAAAAAAAGTGTTTCAAATATTTTTGGATTTATAGTTGCTGCTGTACTCTTTTCTTCATTTTTGCTACTTGAAATTTACTATTGTTACATCTTTTCTCAACTTCTCATTTGTTGCTTCTTTTCCCATTCCTCCGCCTCTTATATGTAAGCATCACAATAATAAGTCCGATCATTGCTCCAAAGGCTGGATGTCATATCTTCTAGTTAGCTTATTGACTATTCATTTCTAAAGCTTAATTGTGTAGTAATTTCATTAACAGAGCATTAAGAGAATCGATTTTATTTATGTCCATACTATTTTTGTCAAAATATGCTAGTTGGGCTTCTTTAGAGAAGGCAAAGGGCTGCATTAAAATTTCTTGAATAAAAAAATTTGTGGCCTCTAAGATAATGTGAGTTGACTGAAAAGAAACATGGAGTATGAAAGGTTGGGTAGTGATAATTCAGATTTTTAGAGTTAGTGACTCTTTTTTTTAATATAGGACAGAAATGGAAAAAAAAGGAAAAAGGCCAAAAAAGATAACTGTATTTCTTGGCCAAAGAGGGGTTCCGCATCACTCTTCTTTTGCCTAGCTTTATAATATATATATATATATATATTGTCTCTTCAATACGTCCCCTCATGTGTGAGCCTGATTCAATTCATGGCAAGCATGTGGAATTCACTTTTGATAAATGGGTTGCAATGAGACTTGGAATCAGGATCTCTGCCTGTTCTGCTACCATTGTCATGCACTGATATCTGAGTGTGCGAACTCTTCACCTTTGGTGCCGCACTCTTGTCGACACAACGTGGGTGTGGGATCCATACCGGATATGGTCTATCGGTTTTGAGTACTTTGACCGAAATCGATATAGAAATTCGAGACAGATATAATGATTCTGAAATCAAAACAATAGGTAGGGTGAAATCATAATTTTAGGCAGATGTTTCTTTTGTCATTGGAAGGTATTTGTATTAAAAAGTCCGCAATCAGAATGTGCTTTAAAGATGTCTACAGGTCAAACACTAGTATGTGCAATGAACTCAAGAAGTCTATCACGACCTCTTGTATCATTTGCAATAGCCATGTTACACCGATAAAACAGTAAGAAGATGCATTTGTACTTAATAATAATTAAAGATTCAAACTTTGCTCTAAAGAAATTGTGCATTCCTTCTTTCCAACTTGTCCATAATTTAGGCAGATTTTCACAACTTTACTTTTAGATATTTAAATTAGTTTTAGTTGAATCTCTGCACCTGTATTCATACCTGGATCTGTATGAAGGATCCCGGCCTCTAGATCTGCACTTGTATCGTACACCCGCATCTGAGTCCGAGCAACGGGTGGTCAGGGTGTCCAAGAAAAAAAAACCGTATATACAAGTAAAATGATATACAAAATGATTAAATAACATATTTTGGACACCCTCAACATAACAAGTTGTTATAGCCCAGTGATTTCACTTCCTTGGAATGAGGACGTGCTTGTGTGTTCAAATCTCACTAGTTCTACTTTTTGAAAAGAGCTTTTGTTGTGCTATTTCTGGACACCCTTTGTGAATTCCTGGCTCCACCACTGCCGAGCAACTTAGTTTGGTACCATGTTAAGTTTATGACCATCACATCCAAAAGTTTAAGCGGTTTGAGGGAGCACATTGTTATTTGCTTAATTATGTTTCAACATATACAATCACATTTCATGGTAGTAATCCTGTGACTCAATTATTATAGAAAATGGTTACTTTAGTAAGCTAAATTGAAGCTTGATAGTGGTGATCTTTCAGAAGTTTGACTTTTACTATTTTGCAGTTTTGACATTAAATAGTACTTCTTCATGACTGCAAAAGCCTTGCAATTTGATCTTTATTTTTGAAGTTTTTATGATATTGCTTTACGCCTTTACGTAGGTACTAACCATCTTCCCATTAGTTGAAATGATTGTTGTTGTGTTTGTATTTGTGATAAGCTTTGGGAAGTACGAGTGTAACTGTAACATCATCAAGCTCCCCTGTGCCTGGAGGCAGGCAACTGTTCTCCAATGTTGCAAGGCTTGGTTTTGCTGCTGGATGTGATCCTCCAGCGCTGAAAATGGATGAGTCTGCACGTGATTCTTCTGTTGCAGCTGGTATCTTTTTAAATTTTCCACTTGGCTATTGACATTGAGTATCTGCTATGATCCGAATAATTGTTTGTCATGTTTTCATCACAGTTTGCCGTAAACGTGTTGTTTCATTTTGCTTTATCATAACCAGTGTACTTCATTTCTCTCAGGAACGAGTCGTCCTGGAATCCTGTCCTTTGCAAATGTAACCTCCAAAGCAAAAGCTGTTGAAGGTCCCAATGCTTCTAAGACAAATGATGCAGGGAAGAGGGGGAAGAAGCCAAATCGGATCCTAATGTCAACTTCTGGTGGTAGACGTTACTGAATTTTGAAGGGATGTGATGAGGAAATCTGTCTGTATATTTAAGAGATGTTTTGCCTTTTATTAGGAACTGTGATTTGTTAGTTGTTACTCACCTATTGAGCATGGTGTTTTGGTAGCGTGTTGTGAAGTTGTTGTAGGATAAACTGTTTTCGCGTCCTACATCATCTTTCCTCTTTTAGTTTTTACTCTCTTTCCTCCCATCCTTGCATATATGGTAAAAACTGAAACGACGTTCAAATATACTTTTTTAATTGATTTCAACTTCAACTATTCCTTTTCTCCGGTTTCAACCAAATACTTGTCTGTGAAATTTACAAAAAGATCTAACATAAAAACAAAGGATAATTTTAGAGATAATCAACATTATGCTTAATTTCTTTGTTATAATTCATTTACAGTAAAGTTGAAACAATTTATCTCTTTAATTAAAGGGAGATAAACTTGATATTTTATTAGAAACCAAGACGCTAAATTTGAAAGGTTATTTCTGAAATAAGTTTAAGAATGAAATATGTGGGATTGTATGAGTATAACACGTGTCCCTCCCTCCTATAAATAGCCATGTTCCATCCAATGTATGTAGAATCTCTCCGTCACCTTTGCAATTAATTAATTAAATTAAATATGATTACTAAAACCAAAAGGCAGCAAAAGTCCAAAATTAATCTGATTGTTATTCAAATTATATATACATACTTATCATCATATAAAAATAATAAATGAAGCAAAAGAAAGGGAAAACAAGTGTGATCCCAAATGACACGACCGAGGTTGAGCAGGAAACCAGCTCTTGTTCGTCTTCTCTCTGTTGCTGCTGTCTTCTCCATTATCCTTATCGCCATTCAGTCCTCTTTCTTCACTGGTACTATATCTTCTTTTCCTTAACCCTAATTATTTGAAAATCCTCTTCGCTAATTTACTGTTTTGAATTTGATGCATCCAGGTAGTTGGACTCCCGTTAATTTGGATATTCCGATCTTGTCCCACTTCCAGTCTAATCTTCAGCAATGCGTCGTAATTATTTCGATATTGTTTGCTTCTAATTATTTCCATGGATCTCCTATATTTTGTTGAAAACTGATATTCATTTTCACCATATTATGTATACTCCACATATGATGTGGAATTTCTGCTTACAGGCTAACCGAGGGCTGGGATTGACTGCTCATATAATTGATCATTGCAATGTCATTCTCAAGTTTCCCCAAGGAACTAATAGCACTTGGGTTTGTCTCTCATCCTTCTCCTACCTGTTGGTTACCTTGTCAGTTATCTACAAAACAACACTGAAATGCATTTCCCCATTCATTCTATCTTGCAGTATAATGAGCAGTTCAAGATCTTTGAACCATTGGAGTACAAGTATGACGTTTGCGAAGCAATACTTCTGTGGGAGCAGGTTCCTCATACTTGTTATTCATGTTAATTAGTCATGTTTTGGGGCTTCCACTACTAGTTCATTAAAATATATTGGGATTATCTGAAATGCAGTATCGTAACATGACGACAGTGTTGACAAGAGAATATTTGGATTCTCGGCCTGATGGATGGTTTGACTATGCAGCAAAAAGGATTGCACAGCTGTAAGTTATTGGCTTCATCCTCCATTCACCTTCTTAATCAATTAATGATAGATTTAATGTGATTTGATCTTCATATTTTATTTCATTGTTTCCTTACTTTTCCTGTTTGCAGAGGAGCAGATAAATGTTACAATCAGACTCTTTGCGAAGAACATCTCAATCTAACTTTACCAGCTAAGCCCCCGTTTCACCCTCGACAATTCAGAAGATGTGCAGTCGTTGGCAATTCTGGAGACCTCTTGAAGACGCAGTTTGGAGAGGAAATTGACAGTCATGATGCAGTTATACGAGATAATGAGGCTCCTGTTAATGAGGTAAATTAGCTCTTAGTCCGTTGAAAATAAAAATGATTTATGTTAAATAATTTGTCTGTTTAGGGAGTAGTAGGTATTATCTTAACTAGAGTTCTCTATCCAATACAACACTTTCAAGTATTGGAAAAGGTTGAATTATGAAGATACAGTTGCAAGAATTTCTATTCATTAAACTGTAGAACGTCTAAACTTTGATGCCATATTTTCTCTATTGAACTGACTTTTCAACCAGTACTTTAATATATCTCTTCCACTATCACTTTTTTTTTATGAAGTAATATGTTTCATTAAAATGCATCAAGGAGGTGCAAAGTTACAAGTAACAGAGGGATAAAAAGGAGTATTTAGCTCAGTTCAGCTCCTATACAAAGTGTTAATCTAGAACTAGGGTGCTAACAAAGTCTAGAAAATGTCCAGCACTAAGGGCCGGGGTCAACTTTGACCATGGTTAAGTATGCATTTAGCTTTAAGAGAGTGATTTGGAGTTGAGATGCTATCAAAACATCTCTTGTTCCTTCTGTCCACAAACACCAAAAGATAGTATCAGGAATCATCAACCAGATTTTCTTGATGGCCTTATCAACTTTCCATAAACTCCAACACAAATGTGCCTGTCTCATGTTTTTGGCATAACCCAACTCAGGCCAGAAAGGGTGCAAAACATGTTCCAAACACCAGTAGCTACTGGACAGTGCAAGAACAAAGTGATTAACAGATTCCAGATCCTTGTTACATCGGTAACATCTGTTAACCAGCAGAAGTGCTTTCCTGTTAAGGTTGTCTAGTGTTAGACAAGCTTCATATAAGGCAATCTAGTTGAAGCATATGACCTTAATTGGTAGCTTGGTCCTTCAAATCAATTTCCATGGCCAAGAATCCAGCACCTGATTTTGCTTGCAGATCTGCCTGTAACAGTCCTTGACTGTGAATATACCCTTACTGCCCCAACACATGGTATCTTGAAGGTCTTTATTTATGTTGCAACTCTTCACTTTTGCAAACAAATCCATAAAACTATCCATTTCCCAGTCTTGGACATACCTTCTTGAGTGCATATCCCAGTTGTTGTTACTCCCATTCTGAGCAATTGTGGAGTTTGTCTTGAGCAATGTTGAAGATGCTAGGATAGACATCCATGAGTGCTGTGTTGTTAAGCCATTTATCCTTCCAAAAACTGATGTGCACTCCATTACCAGGTACTGTCACTAATATAATATATTAGTCAAATTAACATCCTAGACCTGTGTACCAATATTATTGCATATAAAGTGAAACAAAGAACTTAGTAAAGCCACTGGAGTCCTCATTCTGTTGTATCTTGCATATTCTTAAAATTCTTACGTCATTATCCACGTTGCTACAGGTATTTCTTTCCATGCAATACTGGTGAAGCATGTGTGGCATTTTTATTATTTGATCAACTCTACTAGAGAATAACTAGTCTGGCCTTGTAATTGAGATCTGAGAGTGATGATGACAACCAGCATTTATGTAGTCATTAATATGCATAATCTGTTAAAAGTTGTATTAACCCAGTTAAAAAAAAAACCTTCTAGATTTCACATCTATTTTTATTGTTTGATCAACTCTATTAGAGACTAACTAGGTCTGGCCTTGTAATTGAGATCTGAGATTGATGAAGACTACCAGCATTTATGTAGTCATTACTATGCATAATCTGTTAAAAGTTGTATTAACCCAGTAAAAAAACCCTTCTAGATTTCACGTCTATGGTGTCAATCAACCAGAATTTGTTGTGAAAATAACTGCTTATAAATATGCTATGCAGAAATACGCCAAGCATGTTGGCCTGAAGAGAGATTTTCGCTTAGTTGTGCGAGGTGCTGCTGGAAACATGATTAAAATTCTCAACGGTTCTGGTAAATTATTGGAAAACCTATTTATTTCTTGAACATTTGATCATATACATCTTGTCTTCTGTGTTTGTTTTTGTTCAGATTTATTTCATGCTTCTTCCCATTTTCCTATATTGACTGAAGACAAAATGATGTCTTCAATTTTTGACGTTCTGTGCCATGTTATGAGCATCAACCAAACAAAACTTCTTTTATGATCTCATTGTTGCCTAATAAACAGTACCATTCAGCAATGGTTTTAGGTGTTTCTGGATTCTATGAGAAGAAAGAAACTCATGTGCTTTTGTATTCAAAAAAAGAAACTCTAGGTGTTTTGAGGCAAAGTAATCATTGTTAGAATAAGAATAGGTTTACACAATCCTTTTATAATAGGAATAGAAATAGGAATTGTAATAGGAATAGGAATAAGAATAGTAATAGGAATCGGAATAGTAAATAGTATCCTACTTGGTAAAGGATTGTATTGTAGTACAATTTCAAAAGGATTGTATTGTAGTATCTATAAATAGGGTTTCTATGTAATAATGTAGATACAACAATTCAATAATATTTTTCTCCTATATTTCTCGCATGGAATCAGAGCCTCTACGATGTTGGTAAAGTTTCCACTGCCGGGCGGGCGGCTATTACCCATATATCTCACCCGTCTGGCCAATGATTATGTTAACAACAATGATTATGTTAGCAAAAGTTGGGTCCATCGTGTATCTTTTCTGGTGATTATTTTCTCATATCTTATTTGTGTAGCACCGTGCCATCATCGGAATGAATACTTTTTTATATCCAATTTGTGTAGTACCGTGCCATCTTTCCGGTGACTACTTTCTCATATTTGATTTGCGTAACATCATTTTTTTTCCGGTGACTACTTTCTTATTTGTGTAGGGTCATGCCATCACTCTGGCCTTACCCAAATAATTTCTCTTTTTCAATAGGGTCGTACCGTCAATCTGACTCTATCCATATAATTTCTATTTTTCAGTAGAGTCGTGCCATCATTCCGACCCTACCCGAATAATTTTATTTCTCAGTTTGTGACCACTTTCAGCCATCAAACCTAATACTTCCGCGCATGAGTATGTTCTGGTCAATTTTTCAGTGACTTTCTTGTTTGATATGGACTCATCTATTGATTCCAAGACGATCCATATATTTTATACCAGATTTTGAGCACTTTCCGACAACTGCTGCATTGTGAAAAAGTTTATATGGAGCAACCACCTAATTTTGTTACTTAGGGGAAGTTTAGTAGCCTTGTATGTTGATTACGTAAGTCATTCTATGATCTGAAACAGTCTTCTTAAGCTTGGTTTGGGAAGTTCAACACTGTAATTTTATCACTTTGTGTTTTATCGATATTATGCATCAAATTCAGTATTTCATGAGAACAAACATATTGAGATTGATTGGCATTATGCATCAAATCTAGTATTTTTAATGAGAAGACAAGCACATTAAGATTGATTGTGTGAAGTTGAGTGATCAACTTGCATATATCTCATCAAGCCCCTCATCGGTCCTTATATTAATTACATTTGTAACAAGCTAGGTACATGACTTGTATGCACTAGCTTGAAGGGGAGTGTTAGAATAAGAATAGGTTTATACAATTCTATTTAGAATAGGAATAGGAATAACAATAGTATGTAGTATCCTAGTTGGTAAAGGATTGTATTGTAGTATCTATAAATAGGGTCTCTATGTAATAATGTAGATACAACACTTCAATAACATTTTTCTCGTATATTTCTCACAATCACTATATAGGATAAGAAAATACAGACTACCTATGTTTGCTGCTCTTTGGTGCAAATTTCAAGATATATGATTCACACACAATTTTTTATTTTTTTTAAAAAGAACATGTATTCTATGTTTCACACATTTTAAACTTCATTAGCTTTGTTTGTGACTGAGGCGTAATAGTTGTTTTACTTATTTATATTTTGTTAAACGTCATCATCTCTCAACATGGATAGTTCTGTATAAAAAAAATTCCCTTCGTTTGCTTTTTTTTTTTCTTTCCCCTTTTTTGGTGTAAGGGACTGCTCACTTTTGTATACTCCAATCACCTCCTTGGTGTCTGTATTTTATCTTTCAATAACACATTTTGCTTACCGATCAAGAAAAAAGAAGAAGAAAAAAGCGCACTACCATTCAGTGGCAATCATTGGTTTTTTATTTTGATGGTGTATATTGATAATGTCCGTTTTTGAGGATTTTGGTCTAAATGTGGTTTTGCAAAACTCTAGAATTCTTATTCTTTTTGTTATTTAACATGTGATGTAGGGTAGTTCATGCTTGATATGATTATATGAGTATGTCATATTAGGATGTCAGGTGCGCTTATTGTGATGAGCGCACTCTGATGCATTTCTATAAAAAGCCTTTAGCACCAGTAGTTGGGTCTTATACTGCATATTAGCAGGGTTGTGTACATGAGTTGTGTTATTGAAAGTCAAGAGCTAGATATAGTTTCTCGTGACTAAGAATAATCAATTCTTCTTTAATGATCTAATGGTTGTCCATTTATGTGTGACCAATCAGCATTGCTATATACAAAATTACTGGTTTTTCGAGCATGACTGCTTATATTTTAGGGATTCAAGTTTTGAGAGCCCTTTAACTTTTCGAGAGTCTCAATCTAGTCCTTTAAATGTTGTTAGATTCAACAAACATTCTATCTTTGGTTTTGCCCTTCTGTCAAAAAAGGTAAATAGACCCTCAATTTAGGGGGGCAAAACAATGTCTCTACCCAAAATAATATTGTTTGTTCTCTTTCCCAACAAAATGGATAAATAAACAAGAGAGACTTGATTTCTTGTCGATGATTTAACTAAGTTGTTGGTGCTTTCTTGTTTCTTCTTGTTTTCTGTTCTTACTTCTGTCGGATACCTCAGAGATTTTTTAATCTATACTTGGTTGATTTTTGGAACTTAGGGAAAGAGTGTCAGCTATAACAACTCTCTTAACCTGAATGGTTCAGCTAAACCAAAAGTTGCTTATGGGAGGAGGGGGGTAGGACAAAGGAGGAGAGGGGGGGAGAGAGAGCAGCCACAATAATTGTCAAGCCTTGCATGTTTCTCTTTGTGTGGCTTCACCTTATTACTATTTTTTGTTTTTAGTTCGGAACTTCTCAGATGGTCGGTGGTCCCAAAATTAACTTTTGACACTAGTATTCATATGATCCAAATAATTGTTGCAGTCTAGACTCTAGTAGGCATAAGTGTTGAAGGAAGGAGCAAGACATATAGATGATAGCTCCTTATATAGCTAAAGGGATTCTCCTTTTTCAATTTTTCACCTGGTATAAAGAAAACACTCTTCTTGCTCCTAGCTTAATCAGGAAAAAAAGAGATATAGAGGGTGTGTTTGGTATGGAGGAAAACATTTTCTGGTAAATGTTTTCCAATTTTTCAATGTTTGGTTGGCTTAAATGTTTGAAAAATGTTTTCCAAATCAAATTTTTTTCCTCAAATTTAAGGAAAATGACTTTCCTTCCAAAATTAAGGAAAACATTTTCCTAAACTCTACTTCATCCTTTAATTTTTTTTTTCTTACCCTACCTATACCCCGTACCGAACCCTACCCATTCAAAAAATAAAATAAAATATTTTAAATTTTCTTATTTTTTAAATTTCAAATATATTTTTATCCCTACCACCCCCCTCCCCCCACCCCTCCCCAAAATAAAATTTTTGAAAAATGTTTCAAATTTTAAGATTTTTT